CGATTTCTTGTCATTTATATTTGCACTGTTTTCGATTTCCTGTCATTTACAATTAATGCAAATTTGGGATTTTCGCACTTTACATTTCCTTGCAATTTAATAGTCTGTTTCTCGATTCGATATTTTTACTGTGTTTGGTATGTTAAATATAAAAATAGCATTTTCGATATTCTGTGACTTTCAATTCTCATACACGTGTTCGATTGAAAGTCAGACTGCTAGCCTAAGTAAAAAGAACTTACGTGGGAGGATTTTGATTAGGACCAAATCACCTTTAGAATCAAAATCGATCGAAATTCCACCAGAAACAACTGAATACTTTATTAACAAATTTAACTTATCTTATAATTTTCTTTTTAAAATTACTATAATTTGTTTTAGATCCACGTCTTCTGTGCTCTAATTTATATTAATTTTAAGTGGGCACGAAAGTAAATTTTGTATTTACTTATTCTAGTGAATTAGGGTCAAGAGGCTGTTTATACGAGTGAATCAGGGTAGTATAAGCCCAATTTAGTATAGACTACTACAAATGAGTTACTTACTTATGAAATAATCGAGTACAAAAATTACTCATTTGTGCCGGTCCAGTTAGGCCCATTAATATGTGGGTTGGCCCATTTGATTATTAATAATATTTAAAACCAGAAAAGTAAAATAATTAAATTATTATATATCTTTCCCAAATGACGTGGATATGACGACATCATAGAAAGATGCATAATTTGGACATAATGTTTTAGCTTTAAAAGGACAAAATGATCTCTTTAAGGGATAAGAAGGAGCTTTAAAAGGACAAAAAAGAAGATAGATACAGTGGTACCTTTTTGTTGAAGCTTTGGTTTAATCAAGTGCGTAGTATTTAAATGATATTTATTCATTCTTTTATTTTATATAAAAATAAGGTATTATATATACTTATTAACTAATTATTTAATTTTATCAAATATTTTCACTTCAACCAGACAATTATCAACATTTTTTTCATACATGTCCAAATTTTACGCTTAGAGTAAAATTGTAAGTATTAAATTATCTCATACCAATTGTGCTAGCTTCAAGAAGCTTTTCTTCATTATATAGGATTTGTTTCTTCATTAAAGCACCACAAAAAAACTAAAAGAGAAACATTCACAATTGATGGTAGGAGGCAATACGTTTATATAACCTAAAATGTAAAAAACTAAACAATATGATCTTTGGCATTATCTTACTTTAGAAAATGCAAAATAAATAATACTTTAAGAGTATATTATAAAGTCTTTAAATTATTTAAACTTTATTCTTATGAGCTTCTTTAAACCCATAGTCTACTTGTTTTTTTAACTAATGTTTAGTGAGTGGACTCAAATGAAGCGGATTAATCATTTTAACTATCTTAAAAAGACAGGATGTGAGTTATTATTGATAGAAAAAAACAAAAAATAAGATGAAAATGATGTATTAAGTTATGACTAATGTGCACTCCTATTTGAGGTAATGTCAAGAAAAAAAATTATAAAAGTAATCAGAGTTTAATAGTGACATACTAATAATATAATAATTCATTAAGTATTATCAATGCAACTTTTATGGTAATTAACTAATATAAAGTTTAACAAATTGGTCACATCTATTGATGTGTGATTGAATGATAATATACAATTGAGAAATAGTAGTATTTATTTTAATATAATAAGTATTGATTTTAAGGAGATAAGTTGGATGTAAAGAAAATAATTGAATTATAATTCCTAGATTGTACTTGTTGCAATTGACGAGTGTTGACTAAACTTGCATGGCTATTGGTAACACTCATCCCTAGTAAGTGTTTGGTATGTGGTCGGATTCGTGCTTTGGATGAAAACAATCACCACAATTGTTTAAATACGTTCATATCTCCGGAAAAGCTAAAGGATCAACTGGTCATATATAGGAATAGTTGATGTTATGATTTTCTACATTCTTCTCATTCCTTCATCTCGCTTATGTTTTTCATGTAGCATTCGGACTCAATGACTCTATAAAATTACGTCGCTAGAAATTTTAATATTATCAACGGTCAAAATTTGTCGATAATAACAAAAATCCGTCGCTAAATATAACTTATTTATTTTATAGAAATAATTATTATTAGATTAAGAGAATTGTCGGTAATAACAAAAAATAATTATTATTAGATTAAGAGAATTGTTATTGGCAAGATACTGAACCCAAGACCTGTAGAGTTAAAGGCGATACTCCAACCACTAAGCTACTATAATTTTTTGATAATAATTTACAAATAATTATATTTATATATTTATATATTTATATATTTATATATTTATATTTTTATATTTTTATATATATTTATATATAATTAAATATTTTTATATATTTTTATATATTTATATATAATTAAATATTTATTTTTTAAAATTTTTTAATTTAAGAAATTATTATAAATTAATTATGATTAAATTAAATTATAAAATAAAAAATATTTAATTTTTTAATTGGGTGAATATTTACTAATTGTTAATTTACTTGACGGAAATATCCATTGGTAATTTACAGATGTATCACGATCAAGTAAATTACATCTACGACAGATATATCCGTCAATTATGATTTACCGACGAATATATCCGTCGGTAATTAATTATTATTTTACCGACGGATATATCCGTCGGTAAAATCAAATTCCACAAATATTTTATATCCGTCGATAATAATTATTTTCCGATGGATTTAAATCCATTGATAAATATTCATCGGTAATATGCGATTTTCGTGTAGTGGATAACGTAGACATATGATAGAGTTAGATGTGAAAGCATCAAAAACACAGAGTAAGTATGTATCATAGTTCTGTGAAATATTCTTTACTTCCAAAGCAATGCACAGCAATGGTGGAGGAACTTCGTGTTATTGTCTGAGCCACAATTAGTGTAAGATTTGTAAGGTTGATGTGAATTGGTGGGTTTTCATGCAACTTGTTGTTAGATGATGTAGGTCATAGCCACGCTCACGGGAGTTGCAGCTATCTAATTTAAACCTTCATTGACATTTGTGTTCCTGGTGTGACATTTCAGTCTTTTTTTCTCCTAATTTTGGAGGGATATAGAAATTCTTAAAGAAGGATATACCTTATCAATTAAGGATACATCATTCGTATCGTTTTCTTCTACCAAAATTTTAATGCAATTTCTTCACTTGTCCTTGTCCACAAAACTATGCTGCTACAGTCAAATCCATCAAATATAGATATTTTTCTCAGTTCGAGTATTCACTAATACAGTTTTTATATTTTGTGGGATATTTTTTACAATATTTTTGTAAAACTTTACGTACAAATTTGTAAAAATATGTGATTTTTTTCTTATAAAAATTAATAATAATTCTTTTAATAATAATAATAAATAAATAAATAAAATAATAGTAACAAATATAACTACTCAATTTTTAATAAGTTGTATAAATGATGATCATTTTATTTTTTTTATACTGACTTAAATAGAACTCAGATTGATAAATCTCAAATGGCATTTTCATAATTTATTTATTATTATTTTTTATCAAGAACAACAAAATATAAGGGTAACGGATAAAAATAATAATAGTAATAAATATAATTTGTGTTAAAATTATAATGATAAAAACAAGATAATAATGTAAATGAAAAAAAATATACATTATTAATATAAGTGGACACATATTTTATAAATTTTCCGTATTTAACTCTTATAAATGAAATAGAAATAAAATAAATAGTTTTAATTGTTGATATAGAGTAAAAGTTATTTTTTATTCAAATTCATTTATTCTATTTTTTACTGTCAAGACTTCCTTGAAGTGTAATAATGTTTTTTGACATTTTTGAATTGTCCTCAAATTTTAATACCTAATACTAATGAAAGGTAATGTTATCTGAGTTTAAAACAGTCACATTACTATTTCAAAAACAAAAATCTTTGAATCCATATTAAACACAACAATTATGTACATTAATAACATCCTACTGTTCTCACAACATATAAACTCTCACAAATTGGATCAATTTTTCAAAATAAGTCATCAATATAGATTATACTCTCAAAATAAAAAAAAGATACACTTGATCAAAGAAAAAATCCACTTTTGGGGATTTATAATGTAACTCTCAATTCAACTTTCTCATCTTTCTTCTGTTTTTATAAATTTTTCAGACTATTTCTTTTTTAAAGCAAAACAAAATCATTATAAAGGAAGAGAGAAAAAAAATCCAAATTTTAATATAAAATAGGTTAATAACAGTCAAACACAATTACAAGAGAAAACCAGGAGAACCCAACCAAAAAGGTGTTTATGTTCCAAAATTGGGATTTTTTATACAAGTGGAAGAAATATAATTCACTGTAATATATCTCTATATCTCACCCTAAATATTAATTAAAATATTGGTCTCTATACCTGAGATTAACCATAGTTGAGCATCTATGAAAAAGTATTTTTGCTAGGCCTGTACTTTAACCAAATCTATGATAATGTCATGACATATTCAAACAATTGATTATATTGAATTTACTTTTGCGAAATAAGATAAAATGATACATGTATAAATATTCTACGGATTTAATACAACTCAAAAAATAATAATTAAGTAAAATTATATTATATAATACTATATTCTCATGATATGTATAATCTAAGATTTTTTTTTAATATCGTGACAATAAATATACAATTTTCAATTATTTATTAAAATAATCTATATTTTCTGTAAACACGTTATTTTGTTCTAAGAAAAAAAAGTTTAGAGACGAAATTAATACTTCATGAAAAATTGCAAATTAATACTAAAAAAAATAATAATAGTAATAAAAAAAATCCAAACTAGCAATCCGTTAATCTACATTTAAATCCAAAAGGAAGATTATACAATACACAAATTTATGATGTTCAATACATAAGCTAGCATCCATCCACAGAAATCAACAAAAATAAAACAATTAATTAATCTAACAATCTTATAATAATAATCAGTAGCATAATTATTTTCACTGTATGAACGTTCTCACCACCTTCACCATCTGATCCACGAATGAAAAAGTGGGAGACACAGTGCCATCATTCCCCGCCAATACCCTGTACTTATCCTTCCGCGTGAAGTTCGTGCACTCAAACCCTAGCGTCGCCGCCAATATCCTCTGCACGTAGTTAGCCACGTCATGTGGACTCTTCCCCGAAGAACAAGTGGCTTCAACCGGCAACTGGTTCAAGAAGGTAACTTCGTACACCGGTCTGGGGTTCATGAAGAAGAAAATGGGGTCCAAACCCTTCCAACCCCTCGCGGTTGTTGCGTGGAAGAACCCTACCCTGTAGTTCATGGCCACCGGCACTATCCGGTCAGTGAGTTCAGCGAAGAGAGCACTGAACCTCAAAAGGAAAGGCTCCCGACACGTTGTTCCTTCGGGACAAACTACTAAGTCACCTTTGGATAACTCTCGTTTGATTTTCTCGGCGTCTACGTCGCGTGTTCTCGTGAGCCTCACGGTGGGGATGGGGGAGAGGATCTCCGATAACCGAGAGATGGAGTACGTGACAGCGGGGATTCTTCGGTGGAGGACGGAGGATAGGACAACGGGGTCCATTAGGGTCCGGTGGGTGCAGACGAAGAGGACGCCCGAGCTGCTGCCGGAGGGAGGGAGGGGTGGTTTGCCCTTTACGATGACCTTGCCACCGAATAGCCTTGACATGTAATGAATGGCCCAAAAGGGTAGAATGGAGCCCATGGCGATGCGGATTATGGCGAGTACAATGCCCACCGGAATCCAAAGGAGGATTAGTAGGGAGGTGGACGGTGTTGGCCGCTTCACAAGGCGGCCGTCGTGGAAGATCACCGGAAGTGGCCGGAGCAGCTGGTGGTCGTAGTTTCGGCCTGTCAAAACTGATGGATGTGATTGATCCTGCATGTAATGGAGGAAAATACTTAATATATATGTAGATTATAGTTTTAGTTTACATACGATGATGATCTTAATTGAATGATAATATATATACAAATATGTATTATTATTTGTGTAATCTTTAGATAATATATAAACAATATGTGCATAAAATTAAAACTTAGGTAAACTCTGCCTAGAAGGATAAACAAAAGTAAATTGGCTTTTAGTTTCATTTTCCATGCGTGTTTCATTTGATAGTAGTAGGACTTACCATAACCAAAGTGGGCGCGCCATTGTTGAAAAGGTTGGCAACTCTTTCAGAAATGGTATTACTGGAGTCACCATGGACAAAACCAGTAGCAAGGTCAAACCTGTTGAAGGAGAGTTCAGTCCCAACAACCTCATCTGCACGTAGATGCTCCTTCACGAACATCTCCACCATGATTTTTGGGGTCTTGGTAACCACAACCCTCTTTTCATAGGAGCTGAACACCTTCCACTTCTCCATGTCAAGATCATCCATGTAGAACTTGGGCAAAACTGCCCTGGCCACAGACTCAATCTCAGACTTCGGAACCCCAGCCACAGCCACAAAGATCATCAACTTGAGAGACACATCGTTCATGCCAACCGTATCAAGGAACCGAATCACAGGCCATAGTGCTAGCAACAAGGCAAAACGAAGCAAACCCGATGCTTCAAACGCCACCAGCATGAAATAGGAGAACGCATCCGAGTCCTTCAGAAGCGTGCCTTCTAGCTCAGACACCACAGACTCCATAACTAGGAGACTAATTTAGTTTTATTGGTGTTTGCTGTTGTGTAAAATTCTTTGGCTAGTGAATTTTTTTGAGTTTCAATGTTTAACCTTATAGAATGAAACAGGTTTTTATGGTTATGACTTATATATATAAAAGACTAAGGAATTGGGGTGTAATTTATTTGACTGGTCTCTAACACAAAGCAGTTTAGCGGTTTCACAACCACCTTCTGTCCACTTGGCTTTATCTTTCCTTTCTCTTTGTTTTCGGGTGGATATATCCGCGAAGAATAGAGCATTTTAGAAGCCACGTTTATAGGCAAAGATTGATGACTTAACCCCAACAAATAAAAACACATTTTGGTAGACGACTACTTTTGTTCTTTGCACACCTAATTAAAATCGGCGCGCGTCTCTTACGAGTATTTTTAGGTTACTTACCTTACCATTACTTACAATGAAGAACAATACGTATCTTTTGACCAATATTTTCGTTTCGTAACAAAAAAATATTTTTCTCTTCATGAATACTATGGCAGCCTTCGCATTGCAAATTATTCATATTCAGCAATAACCGTATTTTTTATATTCAAGTGTCTATGTCCTCTAAAACCTTGTACGTACGTACAAGCAAGTATTAATAATTACGGGACATGGAAAATAACATGTTTCCATCTTTCATCCCAAATTTCAATAAATAATTATGCGAATTGAATGTAAAAATTGAATACAATTCGATTTAGATTGATTTTACGAATTTTTATCATAACATTGTTAATCTTTTTTAATATAAATATATTATATTTTATTTTTAAAAAGTTAGATATTTTATATAAAAAAAAAATTGGAATAAAGAGACATAATGTGGTGTTTTTTTTTCTTTTATATAATTTTTGCTATAGCCATATTTTCAAATTTTTTTCTCATATTTATAATTAAATTATGTAATGTTATGATTAAACATTATATAATTCTGTAACTAAAAATTATGATATTTTATAACATTATATGTAAATATAGTAAGTGGTTTGAAACATTTTTTTAATCCACATCAGTTCTTGAATTTCAATCGAAATGAAATCATTTAATAGAGAAAAATAAAATAAAATCCAAAAAAAAAATATTAATTAGATTCAAGCTTCTAAATCTAATTTTTTGTTATTATAACTTTGGATCTATGTTGTAATCTGGACTTATAAATTTGTTCCTTGTAATATGCTTCTTCTATTCTCAATCTTTTATATTCTTAAATAATTACTACTCTTGACGATGTGTTTATTTGTTTTAATATATATGTAGCTCGAAACCATTTCAGATTTGACGAATACGTGAAAACATACATTTTTTATATATGCTAGTATTTACAACAGTTGAAGTGATTAAATTAAACTTGAATAAAAATAAAACGACAGGGTCAAAGAATGTAAATAACAGTGAGCGGGGATTCTTTTAAGAATATATTATATTTTTTATAAATTTATAACAAGAAAATATTACAACAAAGAGAGAACTATCAAGTGTAAAAATATCTTGTTGATTCATTTAAACTTAAAACTTCAAAATTTTCTATAAAACTAAAATGAATCAAATGATCAAATTTAATTTTATATTTGATTCATTAAGTTTGGTTAATAAGTGAAAAGTTAGTAAAATGGGTTATTTATTTGTTATCGAAAAAAAGATTTTAAGCTTACGTAATAATAATTGATTTGTTGTTTTAGCAATTGGTTTAAATAGTAATACAAGTGTGACAAGAATTGCTAATACAATGAATCAATCATTTATTTTGTCATTATTTTGTTGTTTTTAGAATATAGCTTTATCATTCTTGGTTGTATAAGAAGAGTTTTTGTAGTTTTCTTCTAATAGGATTTTAAAAATCTTTTGTCTAAACTTAGACCCATTACAAGTTTTTTTAATAAATTTTAAAAAATTCATTCCATCCCCTAGTTTACTTTAATTTGTTTATTTTTGTAAGTTGCTTGATGAAATAACTATAAAAAAATATTTATAATATTACATAAGATTTTTTCAATGAAAATCTACTTCAGTTGAAGCAACTCTTATCAAATATGTTATAAGTAATCAATATTAATGAATTTTTCAAAAACTCTTATTTAAACAATGTAAATACTATAAGAGTATCCCCAACAATAGTTATTTATTCACATATTTAAATAAAGTATTAATTATTTGAAGAAATTTTTCATTGAAGAAATTTCACATGACATGATTATTGTTTAATTTTTTGTTTATTGTTACTTTTTTGAACAATTTACAATAACTAGGAAATGAAAGTGAATGAGAAGAGAGTATAGGAAAAATAATAAATTTTTAAAAACTTATCAAAATAATTTTTAATGGAGTAAAATTAGTAATGAGTTGCTTAAAAATAATTAATATCACAAAAATTCTTTTACAATTTTTCAAGAGAAGAGAGAATGTCTAAGATAACGGGTAATTCTTTCTACTGTTTACATTAAAGTTAAATTCAAAAGTCTTACCAAAGTGAATCATGAAATCCTCCCAAGTTTTGCTCCTGCTTAAAAGTGATGTGATAGATTTCGAATTTAACAATGTATGAAAATGGTTAACTAAAGTCAAAGTTGGTAGGAAATGTGTTTGGCTTAAGCCAAGAGAAGAGCTCGGTGTCAAATTTTATGAGAGGGTAAAAGAATTGAAAGTTGGTAAGAAAATATATCCCAATACACTATCTTATAATCAAGTACTCGGGTTGCTCAACTCCTACGTGACTTATATCTAAAATTAAACTGATTGTATTCAGTACACTAACATTTCCGGAACCAATGTACAATTTTATTTTAATTACTCAAAATGTGAAAAACTTGATCGCGCAAATTAGGTAAGGTGGGTAAGAAATTTGAAGGCAAAGACCCTTTTGTACTTTAACAGAACCGTCGTAGTATTTATTTCTTTTGGTGCAATTCGATAAGAATAGACCACCAACAGATATATATTTAATGCACTCTCTTAAGTCGCAATACGTTACTCCGAGAATTTCCACGTTAGGACCAGATTTTATTGGCTATAGTTTGTTTTCTGTGCTTGAGTTGTATAAGCAGCATAAAAACCTGCTAGCTATATTCACAATCTCCAAGCTCAATGCAACTACATTCAAAGGTTTTTAATGGTTGACTTGCCAACTTAAACTCTTTACAAATATGATAATATTGGCCGAGTAAGTGTTTTAATTTTCCTCTACAATTATCGTTACGTTTATTTGAAGCTGTTTTAGTTTTCTTGTTTGTTTATTTGTGTAGAATAATTCATTCATTTTTTCATCCATGAAGAATGGATGGAAGAAGCTACTGTAAATTGAATTGCATTGAATTTCATAAGCCATTGCATATAATAAAAACGACTAAAACAAAATGGGCCTCAGCTTCACGGGGGATAAAACACGGAAATAGACCACTCACTATTTCCATGGCCCATGCAGGCCTGAAAACCTTTTTTTTATGAAAAAAAACAAATAATTAATTTCATATCAATAAAATTAATCAAGTTGTTTAATTTTAATTAAAAATATCACAACTTCAGTTTATTTTTAAATACTGTAAAAATAAATTTTAAGTAATGGGCATATGACCTGTATTGATATTATTATATTAAGTCAATGTGAATATCTACTTGCACGAAAATTAATGTTTCATATAATTAACACTTATTAATTACACTTTGGAGATTTTATGTGGGTTAAACATGACATTTTATCTGGTTGTTAAAATGATGTAAATATCAATTATATCTTGAATTTATATATAGTTCCATTTGTAATCAAATATCATATCACTCTCTATTACAACGGCGAGAATAATATTTAGGAACGAAAAGTTAATATAAGGTTAATAAAGCTAAGTATAAACAAACAAGGTATGATAAGAAATAGTATAAAAATTTTGTTCATTTATAATGATTCATTTACCGATAACAGTTATTTTCAATTTCTGCAAAAGTTACAGGCGATACAAGATGCACGTGAGCGGCACTGGGAACTAACAGTTGACAGAGAATAATTAATTTATTGGATCTAATGTACAACTTCTACTAATACTGGATAAGAATTTCAAATTTCAATATCTCATTCTTCATTGATTAAACAAAGTCTGACTGCAACGATCTCTCTGTGTGTTTACTCCGTCTTCAAACCAAAGACTAAAACATATAGGTTAGATTTTTTTAATTATTAAGTAGTTCGAAACCCTATTGCAACTCCACTAGTGTGCATGATATTGTAAAAGAAATAGTAAATGAATATTTTAATATATCGTTGTCCTTATCATCATGCACACTTCATTTTCATGCCTTTTCCTATGTCTAAGATATATAGGTCACTCCAGTTCTGAAAGAAAAAAAATATATATAGATATTTAAGCCATTCAAGAACAACACAGTTAAAGCTAAACCCTAACGGGAGTGGGATACCACGAGGGAAATTACTCCAACCATGAATCAGAAGTTGTCATGCATGAAGTAAAAGAAAGCAAATAAAATATATATAATTTTTTTGTTCAGTTCCTTGCTGAACTTTTAACCACTAAAACACGAGTCATTCACTCTCCAAACCTTAACTCCGAGGTGTGATTGAACAAAATGGTTGAAAATTTTCTCAAATCCTTAAAAGATAATTAATTATACTTTTTTTTTTACCTCCAGAATGGTGTTTTACTTGTTTTTATCTTAAGTTTGTAAATAATTAAGTTTAGTTTCTTGGGTTGGTGGCGTAAAAGGTTGTTTTTTAAAAAGGTGCCTAAAAACACTTTCACCTAGAAAAAAAAATAAAATACATTTTTTAAGTTCTGAATAAATTCATTTATGTATATTAATCAATAATAATAATAATAATAATAATAATAATAATAATAAATATGTCATTTAGTTGAACAATCAATTAAATTTAAATAAGGGATATTTTTTTCAAAATAAAAATATTAATTAAATTATATTTTTTTATAATTAACTACGTGTCAAGATGAATAAGAAACAACATAAAAATATGGCTTCCATGGATAACAATCCAAGCCCAAAACCTCTAAAGTGTGACCAAGTTAATTAATTAGACTTTATTTATCCCTATTCAATTTCTAGTTTTCTCTCACAATGCTTAGTAATGGTATACAAATTGTACATCTCACTCTGAGTTTCATTCTGTTTGTATAGCTGCATTTGAATACAGAGTCATGACATGAAATTAAGTAAAACATTCTAACATATTCAAAATTTATTTGCATTATTTAAAATATATACACAATGATGAAGTTACAGCTTTATTCAAGTGGTTTGATTTCATTGTTAGGTACCTCGTATCAGAAGAAGAAGAGAAGTTAAAATATTCATAGGATAGAATAAACTTGATAATTTTATTTTCATTATATAATTAGATTTTTACCAACTTAAACCATGTTAATAGAGGACATTTCAATTTATATTCTCTCCATTCAATTCATTCTAATCAATCTACAATAAATGAAGTGTATTTTTTTATTCCTTGGATTTGTAACTGTAAAAAATATATTAAATTGTTAATGGTAATTATTAAGACCATATGCTCCTACTTTGGCATTGTTTTATTTTATTCACACAAAACTTCCTTATGCATTCTAAGATTTTTTATTGTTACTGGATTTTATCAAAGAAATTAATTATAATATGTTTTAAATTCATGACCTAGTAGTAATTAAGTGATGGAGGACACTAATTAAATTCTAAAAAAATGTGAATAATATGTTATAAAGTGAACATCATAATTAACGAAGGTTTGACTAAATTCCTAATAACAGTATAATTTTAAATGAGTATCTATAAGTAATATATATATATATATATATATATATATATATATATATATATATATATATATTACTTTAAAGCGATTAAATTGTGTAAATATAATGGAGGAATATTTATTTAAATTCTTAAGAATATGATTTACGAGTTAAATATATTTTTAATTAAAGTAAAAGGTCAATATTTACTTTTTCAAGTAATATAAACAAATTAACACCTTCAAGTATCTAATTTATGAAAATATGTCATGTATAATTTTTTTTATTAGAAGAATAAAAAGGACATGTGTTTATTGTGGAGGACAATCAATAAATTATTACAAAAACGTGTCAATTACAATTATTTATTCCTTTTAAAAATGAAAAATGAGAAGGACATATTATTGTGTGAAGGACAATTAATACATTTTTCACAAAGGAAATTATTTGTGTGAGGCTAATTGATAATAAAAATTACAATTAATATATTAAAATATATTTCCTGTCCTAATTTAATTATAGTTCTAACATTTTGAAAATTGGATTTTGTGTTTTTAAATATATTTAAATGTCTATTTTAATATTATTCTATGATAAACATTATTTGCATCGAATACTTAATACTGTATTTAATAAAGATGAGAAAGAGAATAAGAATATTTTAGTATCAATAAATATTATTCTTATGATATGCTTAAATACGAGAGAGAGGTTACGTTTTTGTTTATTAGTTATGTAATTACTATTGTTTGAGGAAAATGAGAAAATAGTGAAAAATAATTAATGTATGATAAAAGAAGAAATAAATGCAAAATAATTTAAAATTTTGTAAGACTTCGTATTATTTATTTATTTTTATTAATTTAATATTATATTTTTTTCACTTATTTTTTTCTATATAAGTTAATATTCAAATTTATTTCTGTAAGTATTTATAATTATGAAAGGATTTGTTTTTTAATTATTCTTTAATATCATTAGAACAAGAAAAATAAAAATATAATAGAGAAAATTAATTATTATAATTTATGTATTTAAAAAATATTAAATATATAATAAATATAAAAGAAAAAAATAAAAATAATTACAAAATTTATACATCCGTTAGTGCCATGTTTTCAATAATAATAATAATAATAATAATAATAATAATAATAATAATATAAAAAAAAATTAGTTGAAACCCACCACATCTCTCAACAACAATAATCATAATTTTTTTTAAGAAGAATTCCAAACACCAGCATGACTGTGCTGCAAATATTCACTTTGATTTTGTTTAAATTCTTAAGAAGTGTGAGATGAACATAAAATATATTTTTGATATCATAACAAAATTACCGGTAATATATTTTTAATATAAAAACACTATCATATATTTGCATGAACTAAAATATAATTAAACAAAATTGAAATTAAAATTCAAAATATGAAAGAACAAATATTTTTATTTTATTTAAACGATTTCAAAATATGATTGATAAAAACTTAAATAAAATTCCAAATATTTATATAAAAAATTATTTGTAACGAGTCACACGACATACGTTACTAATATTTATATTTAAGCAATTAGGATTGATTTAAAACTATATAATCAAACAAAAATTCAAATTAAATTTCGTACACAACCATACTACAAACAATTAATTCTAAACCAGACAAAAGGCATGCATTTTTGTTTTTTTGGTTTTCCATCTAAGTAAGGCCTACAAACATTAATCACCTACACTCAACCCACCACACAACTTTAGACAACTTCAACAATTGTATGAAGCATAGAAGTAGAGTGTTTCAAACTTTTTAACATAACAAGATTCAATTTAGATTTGTTGTGTTTTTATATTTTTTTCAAACAAAAACATTAGTGAATATATTAGAGTAAAATTGATATTATTAATTCGTGATATCGAAATTAAATTATAAATATTTGATTTTTTTTCTACAATAATATTGTTTTCTAAAATATATTTTATGCTAGAATCAATGCATAATTTGACATGGTTTGCGATAAAAAAAAAAGAAAAAGAAAATAAGTGGGTACTTATACAAATATAACATTTACTACAAACCCTAGAGGGGATGTAATAACAAATCTTGTAGCACTTAATCACCACCGTCAGTGTTGGATCGAACGGTTGAGGAAGACCAAGTTCTCGTACTTATCACTCCCACCATCTTCACACTCGCAGTCTCACCACTGTTTCTGGTTCTCTTCTAACATGGACCAACACATCGTCGATCCTCCGCGTTCGTTTTCTTCACTCTGAACCCCGATCCTCATTTCGATTCGGACCTATCAAAATAATCACAAAAACCCACCAATAAAGTCGAAACTTTTTCACAGTTCAACTCTAAGAACTCGCGTTACTGAATCCCCGTATCCCAAAAATAAGAAAAAACAAACCTTGTTTTTTGGGGTTTGGATTCGAAACTGTTGAGACTGGAGCGGTTCTAAACCCGTTCTGAGTTTATCGTTTTGTTATTGTTTTCGGGTGTTTGTTTCTTTGTTTTTTTAGTGAAGCTTTTCTGTGCGGTGTAATGGTGAGTGACAGTTACAATAAGATGATGTCTGATGTGGCGATTCGATCGATGCTAAAGAACGGTGAGTACGGCGAAGATTTGGGGGTTCTGAGGGAGAGGGAACTCGCGCGGTTGCGCAGTGGGTCGGCGCCGCCGACGGTGGAGGGGTCGTTGACAGCGGTGGGAGGGTTGTTTGAGGGGTCTCCGGCGGCGGCGGGGTATGGAGGCGGAGGGGGATTCGGGAGCGAGGAGGAACTTCGGGCTGATCCGAATTACGCGAATTATTATTACGCTAATGTGAATCTGAACCCGCGGTTGCCACCGCCGCTGGCGTCGAAGGAGGACTGGCGGTTCGTGCAGCGGTTGAGGGGTGGTTCAAAGTTGGGGGGTGTTGGGGATAGGAGGATGGTTAGTGATGATGGTAGAATTGGAGGTGGTGATAACAACACTTTGTTTCCTGTGCACCCTGGTGGGTTTGGTGTGAAAGAGGAGGGTGGTTTGAAGCACCGCAAGGGTGGTCCAGAATGGGGCGGCGAGGATGGGTTGATCGGGTTGCCGGCATTAGGCCTCGGGAGTAGGCAGAGGAGCATTGCAGAACTGTTTCAGGTGAGAGTTGTGTTTAGTTTTTAAATTGTAATTGCACTATTGTTGGTTTCTATGTTTTATCTAATGTTTATATGCTTGTTGTTTTACTTTAGTTGTTTTCATGATTGATGGTTGGTTGGTACTTCAAGTGAAAGGAAAAAGAAGTATGGGGGTGTGTGACTTAGTTTGCTTTCATAGGATGGAAAGCAATGCATTACTGTTTCTGGTCATGTGGAAAAACCCTCAGGAGTCAGTCTTGTGATTCTCTAGGGCCAGTTTCTTCAACAGTGTATTCTGCCAATGCCTTTGGATGTTCGAGAAGTTTAACCCTGGACTGAGGGAGCGATTACATGCCTTTGTGATCGTGTCCTGTTCTTTGTTCCCTAACGGTTGGATTATTCGCAAACTGCCAACCTTGTTATCAATATTTCGAGCTTGGTAACCGCCTGTGGAATTAGGTTGGCCCAAGAGACAGGCCATCAACTTGGCCCAACTCATCGGCCAAAATCCAAGAGGGTACATTGACACGTTCATTGGCTTTTTTGTTTAGGGTGTGACTGAGAGTTGGATTTCTGAAGCCATTCATTTGATGATTAACAAATTAGAGATTTTTGCTAAGAATAAAAAATTTGACTTGTCTATGATTTTTAGGCATGTGTTTTAGTGGACTTTCCAGTCAATCTACCTTTATTGCATATTTTTGGTTTGCTTTAATCATATTTTGTTTTGATTGGCCACCTTTCAGCTTCAAATTGGGGCTCAATACTAAGAATTGCAAATTTAGTATGGAGTTCCAATTTTATGGGCTTGAAATTTAAAACTTTGTCTTTACTAATTAGTTTTGCGATGAAATTTTATGATGTGTGGTGATTATAGCTTCTTGTGTTATAATTTTATTTAGTTGCATTGTGTCTGATGTTTGTTGACATGTTTTCTTAGCAGGACGAAATAAATAATGCATCGTCTGCTTCCAAGCACCCTCAGAATCTGCCTAGCAGTAATTTCTTTGATGATATTGCTGAAAAATCTGAAACTCGTCTTGCTTATGTGCATCAAGAACTGAATGCTCTGCGCTCAGGAGGAAATAAGCAGGGCATATCTACTGCCCAAAATTTTGTTGGTTCGGGACCTCAAACGTATGCTTCTGCGTTAGGAGCTTCTCTATCAAGGAGTAGCACCCCTGACTCCCAGCTTCTACCAAGAGCTGCAAGTCCTTGCCTTCCACCCATTGGTGATGGCAGATCCAGTTCATCTGATAAAAAAAGTTCTAATGGTCAAAATTTACTCAATCATGTCTCATCTAATTTAAATGAGTCTGCAGATCTGGCGTCTGCTTTGGCTAGTATGAATCTGTCCACAAAAGATATAATAGATGATGAGAAACATTCACAGTCATCTAGACACAATGAGTTAGATTATAGTCACAGTTTTAAACAGCAGCCTTACTTAAACAGTCCTGATTCCTTGGCTTTCCAACGTCATTCTGCTGCCCAATCCCATTTAAAAGGGAATAAAGGCAGCAGTTTTGGATTGGATATAAATAAATCATCAGGATATGCAGACGATCAGCTAGAACACCTTAAGCCTGCTGGAATTTCTGTTAACTCGCATTTGAAAGGACCTTCTACACCAACTTTTACTAGCAGAGGTGGTTCACCTGCTCACTATCAGAATGCTGAAGATATCTCATATCCAAACTATGGCATGACTGGATATACTATTAATCCTTCATCACCGCCCATGATGGCAAGCCAGCTTGGGACTGGGAATTTGCCTCCTTTCTTTGAAAATGCTGCTGCAGCAGCATCTGCACTAGGATTGAATGGTATGGACGCTAGAGCACTAGGAAGAGGTGTAGCTTTACAAAATTCTAGCAGGCTCGGAAGTCATGCCACCGGTAGCACTCAACAGTTGCCCTTGATGGATCCTTTGTATCTTCAGTATCTGAGATCGGGGGATGTTGCTTCTGCTGCACAGATTGCTGCACTTAATGAATCAGTGATAAATAGGGAATGCACAGATTTACTTGGCCTCCAAAAAGCTTATGTTGAGTCTTTGATTACCCCTCAAAAGTCACACTTCAATGTTCCATACTATGGTAAATCAGCTACCTTGAGCCCTAATTCTTTTGGAAATCCATCATATGGTCTGGCCACATCATATCCAGGAAGCCCACTGGCTGGTTCCCTTTTCCCTAGCTCCCTCTATGGACCGGGTAGTCCTATGAACCAAAATGAACGGAATATGCGATTGTCTGGGATGAGGAACGCAGCTGGTGGTTTCATTGGAGCTTGGCATTCAGAAGCCGTTGGTAGCTTGGAAGAGAACTATGCATCTTCCTTGCTTGATGAATTCAAAAGTAATAAGACCAAATGTTTTGAACTTGCAGAAATTTCTGGGCATGTTGTTGAATTCAGGTACATACTGGTGATTATCCTTTGTTTTGCTACTTGAGATTTAATATTTAGCTAACTTGTTTTCATATTATTTCTTAAACAGTGCTGATCAGTATGGAAGCCGATTTATCCAACAGAAACTTGAGACTGCCTCGATGGAAGAGAAAAATATGGTTTTCCATGAAATCATGCCACAAGCACTTTCTCTAATGACTGATGTCTTTGGTAATTATGTGATTCAGAAGGTACTTTGATATTTTCTTTGCTATAGATAGAATCTCACTATATTTAAATTTTTCAACTTGTATAGTGTATTTTGTTTCCTAATTGTTATGTTCAACTAGGTATCAAATTCATTGCATAAAGCAAAAAACTTTGAATTCATTGTATACATGTCTAACATGGTGCAATTCATGTTTAGTTTTTTGAACATGGAACAGCAGCACAAATAAGAGAACTGGCTGATCAGCTTACGGGTCATGTGCTGACCCTAAGTCTTCAAATGTATGGCTGTCGAGTTATCCAGAAGGTCTGCTTATCAATTTAACTTTATGACTGTTCCGTAATTTTATGCTATGTTGTTTTATGTTCTACAAATTCTGCTGTTGTATGTGTTGGATTGTAGTTTGTTACACAGTAGTCAATCATGCTGTTACAGTTCCTGGCCGCAACATTTAGGCTTAGTTTTGGTTATCACAATGATAGTGGTTGTGATTGCAGTCAAAGAGTGGATGCAACAACTACCACAATGAAATGGGGCAAAGTCTCTTCCCCTTTGTCTGCTCCTGCTGCCTTCGGATTTTTCAATCAACTCCTCTGGTTTCCCAGCCAAGACCTGCCATTGGTTTTCGTTTGTGTTTATCTGCAGCTTCTTGAAGGAGCCTTATCCCTTTTGTAGAGATCGTACTGTGATTTAAGGTTTTACTAACTAGTACCCTAAGGACACGGTTAACAAGTTTGTAGCACTCACCATCAAATCCTTCTAATTTGCTTAAAGACGAAAGCTTAATTTTTTCTGAATTTTTTATATAATAATTGTTTTACATTTTCATTTAATACATTTTACTTTTGATTCCTTAATATGTTCTGGGCACTTGTTAGTAATTCCTATAATTTTTTTCAGTGGTAAATGAATCTATTCAGAATAAATAGAATATCACTGTCCTTTTCTGTTGGTAATTGGCAATGTTATCTCAATTCAGTAATAGTTATAAGAATAACTTCCTTTCCTTTCATTCATGATTTGTTTGGTTGTGCTTTTCAATACTTGTCATTAGTTATATAAATTGTTCAGAACATACTGACTAATGTGAATGGTGATTTTGTTTTAAATGTATTGAAACTTACTTTATTGTTTTTATTAGTTTATGATACAAAACTTTAGAACCGTTAGGTTAGTATTGTTAATAGTGAATAATAAAGATGAATGTCTAATTTTAGTGTTTTTTGAGTTATCAACATATGTTAAAAACTTATTTATATTGTATTTGCTACTTGGTATAGCTGTTGCTCCAGGATTAATGACTATATGTGTTTATGTCAAAATTTGCTGAGAAGAGTATGTTTTTCCATGTTATATAATATCTGGAAAGGCTAGTAACACGACACCCCGTTATTGCACAAACTGTTACTAGAACTGCCTTTACATTTGCTCTCTTGTAAATGAGATACCATGTTGAAGGTTTGTCAAGGCACCCTGTTGATATAATCACAATGAGCTGCACTTTGATTTTTGTTTGATATATCTTGACAGGTATTTTTTTTCAACATTTTGCATTTACTTAATGGGTCAGATTGGGCATTTGAGAGCAACCCATTTTTTGTTTTCTTAGTGTCAGAAAAGCTATGTTTCTAATAGTTTCGTTGACTTGACTGTCTGAGGTTTTAAGTCAGAAAAATATATTTTGTTAATTTTTTCATATATGCAATTGTTCATTTTGTGTGTGAAACTGATATTGACCTTATTATTAATGCTTTGTATTTAGGGTGCTGTCGAGATTTGTCTGGGTTGATGGTAAAGTTAAGAGTTATTCATTTTGTTTTTCTCTTCTAAACTGTTTAGGCTATTGAAGTTGTGGACATGGATCAGCAGACTAAAATGGTTACAGAGTTGGATGGACATATTATGCGTTGCGTACGTGATCAAAATGGAAATCATGTCATCCAGAAATGTATTGAATGTGTACCTGAAGATGCGATTCATTTTATTGTTTCGACATTTTATGACCAGGTTGTGACATTGTCAACTCATCCTTATGGTTGTCGTGTTATACAGGTAACTTGTTGCCTCTTATGCATTGGTGTAAAAAACATAGTAGCTGGATTGATAGTTTGAAAAATCGACATTGTAGTTCTAAACTAGTCATATTTTAATCTGCAGAGAGTATTGGAGTACTGCAATGATCCCAAAACACAACAGATTATGATGGATGAAATTTTACAATCTGTGTGTATGTTAGCACAAGACCAATATGGCAATTATGTTGTTCAGGTTTGTTGCATTTCATTTTGGTTTTTGTTTATTTTCGCATGGTCACTACTTGTGGTTTTGCTGTGTACATGTTTGCAGCAGTCACATGTTGTTGAGTCTATTATTCTCATTAACATTTTTCCCCAATCGGTATAAAAAATCGGTTGAGCATATACACAACACATATTGAATCAATTATGAAACCTCTTTTTAGGTAAAATCTATATGATACTTACACTTTTTCCATTCTAGAAGTGATGAAGTTTGATAATGAAATGCTGGAAGTTTGGTGACTCAAATTTGGTGTTTTTGTGGATTATATAAACTATATAGGCAAAACAATTAAGAAAGATTTAAGGATCAATAATTTATCTATGGACATGATTCATAATGGAACATTGTGGTGTCATTTGATCAATAATTTATCTGACTCCACCTAGTGTTAAAATTATTTGTGTTTGTTTTGCTGTTGTGTAGTAATATTGTGTCAAATGGATGACAGATGCACCTGCTTGAGATTTTCTTTTAACTGCTGACAGATTTCTGCTATGAATTATTGTTGGATGACTTTTCTTTATTACTTCTGTAGATTTAAGTCATTGCCTTCAATTTCAATTTTTTTTATGGTTGGTTAAAATTGGCAGCATGTGCTGGAGCATGGCAAGCCTTATGAACGATCAGCTATAATCAAGGAATTAACTGGGCAAATAGTGCAGATGAGCCAGCAGAAGTTTGCCTCTAATGTTATAGAAAAATGCCTTACTTTTGGAACACCTACAGAGCGGCAAGTTCTTGTGAATGAGATGCTTGGTTCCACATATGAAAACGAGCCCCTGCAGGTTTGTGCATGAAATTTGATCCCCATCAATGAACAAATTTCATGTGATGTTGCGATATGCTTGTTTTTTCGACCTTTCCTTATCTCCCTTCTGAAAGTATAGCCTGAAGTAGTTTTATACTATCATGAATATTCTTATCCTTTTCCAATCTGTCCAATTTATCATTTATTTTATTCAACAAAGTTTTTCTTTATTCTGGTTGTTAGGAGTTTAAGGAAATAGGCTACCTGTGACATTTGCTTGGATTGCTGAAGCAATTTATTAGTTCTGGTGTTTACTGGCTATGTCAATTTATCTTCTTGAAAGATCAATTTGAGTCAATTAGGCCTCCTTGCTTTATTTTCTACCTCCCATTAGCCACACCCTCCAGTACAGCCTATGAAAATGTCTTAAGATGTGATTTGTATGTTCTTTTTTTGTGCAATGCCAAGTGGATTCTCCCACTTTAAACATTAAATATTTTTTCATAATGCCCTCCTGCCCCTGATAATTTTGTTCTATGCTTTTGTATCCTAATTCTTTTCCCGCTTTTGTTCTAGTGGCTAGCAGGGCCCACTACATTTTTTATTTGTCAATTTATGGTTTTGATTTTAACATTAGTCTATGTATCATTTTGGTTGTACAAAATTAGTCTTATACTCTATAGTTGTTATTATTATTATTATTGTTCTTTAAATAATAATTGATGAATGAAAAAAAAAACTAAATATAATCTTCAATTGGACCAACACTATTCAAAATTATGCTTTTTTCTGTTGTGGCTATATGACTTGATTGTGTTTGTAAAAAAGAGGTAGGTCTTATTTCCAACAAAATAAGTCTGGTTTAATTTTTTGTACTGTCATTTTTGTTCCAATGTTAATTGACCTTATTTTGTTTAATCATTATTCCTACTTTTCTCATATATTACCTGTGTTTTTAGATTATGATGAAGGATCAGTTTGCCAACTACGTTGTGCAGAAAGTGCTGGAAACCTGTGATGACCAGCAGCTTGAGCTAATCCTTAATCGGATAAAGGTTCACCTGAACGCCTTGAAGAAGTATACTTATGGGAAGCACATTGTTGCCCGTGTAGAGAAATTGGTTGCTGCTGGGGGTATATTTTCTATCTCAAATTTACTTTTCATTTTTGGCTCATATATATTTACTGATATATGGCTACAATTGCGTCACAGTAGGCTCATATAATCACAAAATACTTTTTTTCCTTTCACTCTAAAGATTATGCTCTATTTTGATTTAGCAGTAAAGTTCCTTTGAAAAGTTGTGTATGGACTGATATGACATTTTTTATTTACAAAATCTTGCACATATTTCAATTTTTGTTTAAAGAAAAGTTCTCTGCCATTCAACCGTGAGGTTTGATAATTTTCTTGTACAAACTTTTTGTTCAATCAACTAGCATATGAAGTAGGGTGATCTATCATATCTGGTTGTGTTTTACAGTTGACGAGTCTATCTTTAATTACTGTCATGCAAACAAGATGAATGATTTTCACTTGCTAAAGGATGTCCAAAATATAGACTCCCCCAGTGCACGTCTATCTAAGGAATTAGCTTCACATAACTTTTGACATGAAGTGGATACTATTTGACATTTTGCATGTAGCTTTAGTATATCTTTAGATGTTATTTGATTTGATTGTGTGTACTAAAGTCAAAATTTTGTGTGGTATGCAGAGAGGAGGATTAGTATTCTGACTCTAAATCCTGCACAGATGGTATAGAGAATGTACAGCTAACTGAGGATAATACAAGCACCTGCTCTTTTTTCTCTTCATGTGGTATTGCTAATGGCCCTGTCTGTATTCAGGTAGTGAAGTAATAAATTAGTTGTACTTGAAATTGTACATTTGTTAGTGTGAGGATAATACAGCTAGAATCAGGTTAGCTGAGGCTCAGGCTTGGTACTGTTAATGGCCTTGCCCTGCCTGATTCTCTCATGCGGCAGGGATATAATATTATTTACGAGCTAGTTTTCATGTTGTAAAGGGAGGTGTTGACTGTACAAATTTTACTAGGTTATATCAGAGTCCTTGTATCCGGGATCACCAAATGTTTTGACATATGAGGCTTTACTTTTTTCCCTATGTTAACCTTTCCTTCTCATCCCCGCATTTTTTGCCTCTTCAATTTTCCTTTTATCTCACTTCTGTCTCTTGTTTTTATTTATAAATTTCTTTGAGTCTAACCTGCTGCTTTGGGTGCCCGGTTTTGCACCAAAGGTAGCTCTATAATGAATGTATTTCAACAATCACATTGTTCTGGAGCATCAACAATAATGTGATCAATGATTTAGCTTGTCATAATCAAATCAGTCAGAACTTGGTTTTTGAAATGACTGTCAAAACCGTCTCTTTTCCTTTTTGAAAGTTAAAACTCTGGTCTATGTTACTGTTAAAGTTATCATTATTCTTCACTGTCAAACTATATTACAACTAAACATTTCTTCATGAATTAAACAAATAATTGACCTCTTTCTCTCTCTTCCTTACAGTTTAGCTTATGATTTCAATTGTTGACAGAAGTTTTCATCCCTTGGATAAACTATTCTCAAAACTTGTCTCGCAGAAAACAAAATATATCAATTTATACTAATTAAACCTGAATATATGTGTAACCGATATCACTCTTTCAAACATTTCAAAACTTGCTTCTTTTTTGTTAACATGTTTGCGTAGATATAGAAATGCGAAAATATTACGTTACACAATGTTGTATATAGATGAAACATTGGGTACGTAGCACAATCCCAACAACTTTCGAGAGCACCTCTCTTTTGGCATTCATGTTACTTTTTCCCTTCTGATCTGAAACAAAAAAGGGAAATTCCCAATCTATGAAATATTTTTTTTTTCTTGTTTTCTTTGTAAAATGATTTTCAACGTAGAAATCAAAACACCATCAAACATGTCATATTGTCGACTTAGTATCTGAACTGAAAAGTGTTGAATGTTTGTTTGCCATAAACAAGGAAAGTAGAAGTGTGTTTAGTCTTGCATTTATGTGTTGTTCCGAACATAAGTGGCTACAGAAACTTGAGTTGACTTGGTCAATTCAACGCTGATTACGATACTTGAGAGGCCTGCCAATTAAGCTATATTTTGTTAATGAAAGAACAAAACTATAACAAAAATAATAATGCATTACGCATTGTTTATTAAGAAAAAACCATTGGTTATATGACTTTTTTTTTTGGAAAAATAGTTAATATAAATAATTGCAAAAAATATAATCGAAACATATTCACCATATATATTCATTCTACATGGTTTTCCAACTATACATTGTCATATAGTTGAACTTTATTGAAACTTATAATATTTTCTTTAAATTAAATATCTATGGTATTTTTCAATTAATACTGTAAAAATATTTAAATTAGCAGCATAACAACATTGAATTCTAATTATAAAAATAAAAAATCCTTACTTTCATCAACTTTGTAAAGAAAATATTTGAAAATAATGGAAGTAAAAACAAATGTAATGCCTTTGTAATTACAAGTGATACAAAATTGAATAAGAATTAGATAACAAATCAGTTTGCCGTGTTCGTTTCTTCCTGACAATTTTTTTCCACTCTAGATTGCTGACTGAGGTTGATAGTTCGTGATAAAATATAATTACATTGCTTTATCATTAGTTATTCGTAAATTATTTATAATTTTAAAATATTAAAATAAAATAGAAAATTGCGTTTGTTTACTTATTCTAACTTTTATATTAAATTTTCAGAATTGCATTTAAATTTTCAATTAGATATAGTGCCATCTTGTTAAAACAAGTTCTACAAACATTTATGTAGTGTTCTTGTTATATATCTACCTGTATAAAACATTTTTTTTATTAAAAAAGGAGTTTTATGAAGGGTTTTGTTGTATTGAAGTGTACCATCACTAGGAATACAAAATCTTAAAAATTTAAAACCTTGAACAATTCATACCGTATCTCTATCCACCACAACTTTGTATCTATATTTGAGATACTCAGGTTTTTTATGTTGCTACATTTAAATGTAAGTCTAAGAAGTGGCTTAAAATTTTATTTTAAAACAAATTTTACTAGAACTTAATCTCTTTCTCTCTCTCTATATATATATACATATATATATATATATATATATATATATATATATATATATATATATATATATATATATATATATATATATATATATGTGTGTGTCCATCCTTCCACAAAAACACAGATAATCTGGAATTGCAACACCAAATTAAAAAAAGAAAATTAAGCTTCCCTCTTCAGTTATAATTAATATATAAAATCTAACTTATTTGATGTATAAGGTAATTTAGTTTGTAGAAAAAAAGAGTTATTTTGACTTTCTTGTTTTATTTATTATAAAGAAATGGTTAATAAAAGGTTTATTTAAAGAAAAGCAAAAGAAGGGAGGTAAGAATCCATGACTAAGCATTGCATGTGCATGAGGGGAAAGATAAAACAGTGAGAGAAGAAACAAGAAGAGATTGAAGGAAACAAAAAACTGTGAAGCTAAATGGTTCCTTTACCTCTCTTCATTATTAAGATGATCAGTGGACTTATAGCTGGGAATTGGAACACGTCCAGACTCTATATGCCTAAGGTCCTCCACAAGGATTTCATAGTGTCTCTTAACTTCCTCAGCAGATTTATCACCAACTATTCTGGCTATGTTTTGCCATCGATCTGGGGTGTCTTGATCATACAAGGCAAGTGCGCTTTCGAATTGCTTGTTCTGCATGCGTGTCCAAGAAGAAGGGTTTTCCTTGTTGCTGTTGCTGTTGCTGTTGCTGTTGTGGGAGCTAGAAGCCATGCCTGGAAGGAAGGTTAATTAGGTTATGTTTGCATGCAATTTGGAAATAGAGAAGGTGAAAAAGGAAATGAATTAAGATGGGGTTGGAATGGTGTTTGCAATGCTTAAAAAAGGTGAAAGGATTGTGGATCATGCCTAGATGTGACCTCTAAATGTAGGGTGGGACAACATACAGCTAGACTCTTGTGATACACTTTAAAACACTTTTCACAATTTACTTGTATTCTAGTAGTTCTTCATTTTCCATCCAATTTCTATGTGTAGTGTTGTTGGGAACTTGTTAATGACATAAGTCATAGGATTTATCTTAAATATAAATATTCTTACATTCTTTCTTTTAATTATCATAGACTGTAAATCACTTTCTCTTGTGATTCTGTGGTTTGTATATATCGTGAAATCATTAGAGTATGAATTCGAGGGTGACATTAGATTAAAAAGCAGTGCAGAAAAAATTATCATTGTCACACAGTGCTGGCCCCGAGTCTCTTTTCTTTTCTTTAGTGACAGTTCATGATCCATGGTTAAAGAGGAAAAGTAAAATCAACCCGAAGTCTAATGTGAGCAGGATTTTATTTTTAAAAAATAAAAAAATTCAATTTCTACCAAAAATTTTCAGTGAAGAGCATGTACAATAGAGACTCTTATCCATTATTTCTCCTCATAAACTGTCAAGGTAAATAAAAGTCTTGTCATTTAAAGTGCTTTTTTTCATAATAACTACTTTACAAATAATTTCCACAATGATTTTTAATTAATTGACTAACCATTCAAAACTATTGAATATTAATTTAAATGTGATGGTTTTAGCTAGCTTACTATATTTAATTAAAGGGTGAATCAATTAATACATTTATTGCTTCATTTCTTACTTAATTCTAACAAAATGGTCTTCCATAAAGAACACATAGATACCCCTAATTAAAAAAAATTACTATAGAGCTATCCAAATTTTTTATAACATTCTAAGATACAAATTTGAAATTAACATTATTATTATTATTATTATTATTATTATTATTATTATTATTATTATAATAATAGTTTCACTTTAACTAGCCCTTTAACAAGTTTCAAGTTTAGTAGAATTAATACATAACTCTGCCCATAAAACAGAATAACAACTATGATATGATAATATAAATATATATACATTTGAAACAGTAAGCATTTATAAAAAAATTAAGACAAAAAGTTAAACTTATTCATATATTACAATTAACTTATATATAAAATTAAATTAAAACTTTAAAAAAATACATGGAAAAAAAGTATACATTAAGATTAATTTTAATTTATGGAAAATATATTATTTTTTAAAATAATTAATTATAAAAACTTTTGCGAAAATTTTATTACGAATTGGTGGTGAAATTTCTAAATATCAACTATGGTTTTGTTGACTGAAAAGTGTGATTAAAGCAAAGGTAGTTTCTAGTTTCAAAAGCTAGAAACTGGTACACGTCCAATACATGTGGGGCCAAATTAGATAAGGGATAATGTTATTTTTCAAAGTTTTTGGAATATGAGAGAAAAAAAAGAAAGAAGAGAGTACGATGATATCAGATGAAACATATAATATAATAAATAAAAACAGAGAAAAAAAAAGAAAGTGATAAAAAAAAAAAAAGTGTTAAGTGAATATTGATGTAGATAAGTATAAGATTTGAATGTGAAGAAGGCTGTTCTAACGTATCAGTTGACGGTGGTCAGTCAGCAGTGGCATGAATCACAAGAGAGTGGAGTGTTTCACGAAAATCCAACGCGGCGGTCTTCAAGGAAGACCATTTACATGTTAAATGTGTTTTAAATAATCAATTTTAATTTTAATATATACATATTATATATATATATATATATATATATAATTATTTAAAATTGGACCATTTATTATATTTTATTTAATATTTGTTTTTTTTTTATTATAGTTTTCTTTAGTTTATATTTTATATTTTATTTTTCTTTTTTAAATATAATTCCTTACAGTATACTTAAAATAAAAAATAATTATTTCTTATTTTTTTTAAATAATTTAAAATATATTTTAAAAATTATTTTAAATAATAAAATAATTTAGTTTAAATCTAAATAAAATATATATTTTATATTTAAATTATTTCAAATCAAGATATATCTTAAAAATGATAAATAATATAAATATTGATCTAATAATTTATTGATTAAATAAAAAATAATTGATTATATAAAAATAAATACAATAATTTATTAAATATAAAAATATATTAAATTTAAAATTTTATTATTTATTGAAACTATTAAATTTTATAATGTTTATTATAAAAAAAAATACTATTTAACTAACTAAACAAACTATTTATAATTTTTAAAATATTTATCTTATTTATAATATTTTAAAATATATTAAAAACTATTTTATTTTAAATATATATTTTATTCAATTATAAACTAAATTATATTATTATTTAAAATAAATTCATAACTATATTTTAAATTATTTTAAAATATAATTTAAAAAATATTTTTTATATTATTTATGAGGAATTAATTATAATAAAAAATTGAATAAAATGAAATAATTATAGGAGGAAAAAATTTTAATAAGTTGTATTTAATAAGTTATTATATTTTGAGTAAATATGTGTAAATATAATATTTTAGTAATATTTATACACAAGAATCACACTGACATAAACTAAAATTGTAATTTTTTTTTGTTAAAAAAAAGTTACATTTATTGGGAAAAAATTTGTCTCTGTAAGAGGATAACTAAGAACAAAATAAAATATTTTGAAGAAAAAAGAATAGGGGAAAGAAATATAAATGAAAATATACAAGAAAATAATAGTGAAATTTCTCCTTACTGTTTTAGATGAACAAAAAAGACACAGATAATAAATAGATGAGTTATGTAAAATAATTTATACTAATTAAAAATATAATATTTTAATATAAAATTTATTTTTGAAAAATTGATATTACAAAAAAATAATCCAAAATATTATATTTTTCTCTTTTATTCCAATTATAAAAAGGGGGTCAGGAAATTATTTTTAAACTATATAATATTCTTATATTGTGTGTGTGTGTGGTAAATATTCATGTGGGTAAATTACTTTTTTTTTTATTCCTAATCACCACCTAACTTATTCTCCAACAATCCAAGTCACACTTAAGTAACCAAATGGGTCCTGGTAGAGGTTGAGGGTCAGAATTTTGAATAGTTTTTAGATACCTATTTGTGTACAAAAGAACAAAGAAGCTGATCCATCTTTCTGCTACGCTCCATAGTAGGCAGAAAGAAGTCATTTCCATTTTAAGTCATTGACTCACAACACAACACTACAGCACAAGAGAACCAATTCATTTTATTTATAGATTATTCACAAAAAAGGTAACAACCAACTACACATTCTATTTATTAACAATAACTGCATCCTCAACTCATCTTATGACAACCAAGTGCCACAACATCTCAATTATTTGAAGCTAATTCTAAAGCTTACTAATAACCTTAGTAAAGGATATATGTTTAATATGCATATATAATTCCCATAAAACATTACAGCGTATCCTATAACAAAATTATGCTATCTTCACTGCCCTTCATATTTTGTTTTCAATCATTCCAGAAATGCTTGATAGCTTTAATCTCAGGACACTTACTCACTAGTTACTATATACACTGTTTATTTTCTGGAATGCTTGATAGCTTTAATCTCAGGACACTTACTCACTAGTTACTATATACACTGTTTATTTATGTCTACATCAGATTGTCTTTTTGCAGAATCTTGAGGTTATCACAAATGTACTTTAGTTGATTTTGATTGAGAAGCTGCCAAGAGGGAAAGGAAGAGAACTGACCAACTGGGTAATAATAATGCAGGTTAATTACTTTATGACTAGTGAGGTTTTTCATATCTTTGAAATTAATGCTTGGGACCTTAGTTTTGAGCAAAATTCTGAAGGCTTCTAGCTGCCCACCTATGTGTATGTCCTAACATGATCCATGTGGCTTTGTCTCTTTCTCTGCACACTTTGTTTGAAGTTAATTGCAGTATGCTTTCATAGACCTTGTACCCTCTGTCCACTAATTGATGGCTGCACTAATTAGCTCCGGTTAATAATGCTCTATTTCTGTATACTTTTATAGAAATAGTTTCCTTTACCATGCTAAGATTTACTTGTTCTGATCCAGTGTACAAAAACAGTTAAAATAATAACTCCTTTAAAGAGTTTCAGCAACATACTATTTAAGACTCTCATTTTGTAACATCTTTTTATAATTTATTGAAATTAATGTCGGTTCTGCAGTTTCATGAAGGATCCTCAATATTCACCCAAAAAGAGAAAAGAAAGGATGATGCGTGTAAAATTTTGCTCTGCTTAACAGTGGAATGTATTCGGTCTTAGTACTTTCAAGGAACATAAAAAGATTGATTGCCACTTTATCTAACCGTTTGATGATTGAGAAAGCTTCCAAACAGAGAAGAAGAGATACGATGCAGAAAAAGAGAGGCCACCGAGTCCGTACATACCCTACTTAATTGTGTTTGTGGAATAAGTAACCACTTTCTTTCATTCATTCATATCATATTAACTCATCTATTAATGCTTCTGCGTTATTGGTTTACCATTCAGTAAGCTATAACAGATTGCGTGCCTAATGCATATGCCGTGCACATAAGGCACTTCTACTTTGCTGGCTGCACTGTTCCAGTAGCTCCAAAATAGAAACTTTAAAACCACTTGTGCAAACTCTATTCTCTCCTTTGAGTCAAAATATGTGCTTTAATATTGAATTTGAATCCTCTATCGTCAATGTTCTCTCCATTTTACTTTATCTCTCTAGTGTTCTGTTGGGTATGAGTTAAAATAAAATAAAAATTAAAGATTTAACTGGAGATAACTATAGTAGATATGGTAGGAGAAAGAAAAAGAAAATAATTAGAAATAGAGGATAAATAATATAATATTTTCATCCTTTTAAAACTATTTATAATATGCTAAATAATTTATGTTAATTATATCTTCTCTAATAGTCTTGATTTCTCTGTAATAAAACACAACTATCTTACTCCCTTTATTTTGTGGTAGATAGAGAGGGAGGAGAAGTAGGTGAGGATTGAAGTAGCTCCCAAGTTTTATCAATTCACCACTTGAGTGCCGAAATATTTAATACTACATGTAAACAAGTTTTAGATTTTGGTATAGTATCTGCAATGGTTTTTGTGGGTCTACTAGTTAGAGATTATTCGTGAGAGTACTCATATATAGCTTTTGATAGTAATACTAATGTGTTTGGTTTCCCTTGAAGGATGTGAGTATGCTTGTGTTTTCACGTCAATTTCGCTAAAGACGTAGAAATTATAGCGCAAGTTTAATTCCAGTTTTTTGACCTGATTATTCACTTCTAATTGAAGTAGGTCCTTGTAGTTTCTGCGAAAACCAGGAAGTGAAAGTGAAAAAAGTTTAAGCTGAATAACCGTGTTACTGAAAACAAGCAATGAATTACATGGTAGCAGCACAAGTTGAACATCAAACTAATAAAATGAATTTACTAAACACAACCTTGGGTGATGCCAGAAAGTGTTAGGAGATTGCCCCAACCCAAGGATATGTAAATGATGGTTACAAAACCAAACCAGTCTTCCTAAATTAATGATAAGAAAAAGAAGTTTGTGGACATTAGGAAAAGTTACATGCAAGGACTTGTCATATTTTCTCTTTGAGAAAGAGTTTCTGGTTTGGCCAGTGGTCCTTCCTAATATGTTGGAGTGTCATGATAAAAGTTAAGATGTTGGATAAAAATTGTGGTGGTGGCTCAAGGAGTAACAATACAATATTTTTGTGTAGCCAGGGCCCATATTCATCCTTGCTGGTTTTCAAGTGCCCCAGAAGTAGACCACACATATCCGGTCCCTAGCACAGCAATCTTTTTGCCAAAGATTCAATATCCATATTCAAGTTGGACATTGATGCCTTGACGTTTAAAGATAGAGAACCAAAGAAAGGCTTAAAATAAAGCACTAAAACTTTAACATTTGTGTGTCTGTGGCTTGGATTAGCCTTGAAACAGTTTCATAGATAAGACTTATAGTACACTCCTCTCACTTAACATTTCATCAGATACTGCCACTTTCCATACTAACACTTTAACTAACTTGGGCTAGTTACATTTGAACATACTCCAGGGACCAGTTCAAAGTCTGTTTGTCGTGCAATCTTTTCTCAAACGATGGATTCCAAAAGCCAATGGAATATTATTCATATGAACAGGCTATAAGACAAATTACAATGATGTAGGATTAGTTTTTTTTTTTTTTTTTTTTAACTAATAAGATGTTACAAACACAACAGAGCTGGAAAATTAACCTATCAACTAATTACAGAAACAACTAATCAGAACAGAAAATTGATAATATTAAAAACTAATCCTTTAACCCAGCTTGCCATAAATCACGAGTTATATACTGTATTCTAATTTTTTTGCTCAGGTATTTAGCCCATTTGCAACCACATAAATATGTAGGTCTCACTTTTTTGGATTTCCAACACATAAAAAAAAAAAACTTGGAATAGGCCCCGATATTGTAAGCAAGCCCAATAATATGAATTGACACAAGCGGCATCAGAACATGACCATCACATAAAACTCCGATGTGTTCCACAATTCGCTGAAATCTGAGTACTGAAAACAAATGAAAATGTAGCTAAAAGAGTTCTACATGCTTGCAGGTGAGTGGTACTAATTTGTTTGAAGTTTTCCTTTCGCCTTAAGTTTTAAAAGTGAAAATTAATGTCGTCAAAATATGAGGCAACAATGAATGTATGTTTGGAAGAAACTATAGACATAAGTAATTTTTAAGATAAAATACAATTCTTTTATATTAACCTCATGTCTCGAACAATGATATTGCATATTGACGTTGCTGCTACACTGTTTTTAGAATCAACACTGTATAAATTGCATTTGTAACTTCATCAAACCAAGGAATATGCCCCACAACTCGCAATTTAATACGCTTTTTGCTTTTAGCACGTCGTAAACCATCTAAAGAACAACATTACAATGATAATTGTGCAATCCATCGTCACACTTTGGAAAATTGCCAAAAACAAGAAGAAAAGAGTAGCAACAAGAAGCAATAAAAACAGAGCTCTCTACAATCTTCATCACATGCATGCACAGTGCTGCTCCATCAACTTGGGGGGCAGAATGTGATGACGTACCTCCGCGCTTTGCAAATCTTAAGCGCCGTTGAGTCATCATAGGCGTAGCTATAAGCCTGAGGACAAATGGTCTTAAAAAGACGAGCAAATGCAGTAGGTTTACAACTTTTTGGACTCGCAAACTCCCCAGTGCAACAATACCTATCTGATTTTGCAGCCAAACAAGCACTCTTGCACCCCACCACTCTCCCTTGCCGCTTCATCACCAAAGCAGGAGGACAACAAACGTTCAAGTTCGCTTCACAAGCTGCAACCCCACAACCTACCCCACCACTCACTGGCTTCATCGAAACTGGAAGGTTAAACCCATCAACCAAACTAACATCGTAGAAATGCAATGCTGATTGAGAGGTCCCAAGTGTCATTTCCACAAGGGTAGCAGGTGGAACTCCTCCCATTCCCCCACACTTCAAAAGCCCTCCACAGTCACCTACAAGAGAATTTTGTGACGGAAAAGTGTTTTTCCTTGTTAATTCTTGATTCACAAGAAGGCTCCTAACTCTGCTAATGTACCAAGGAAATATTATTTGCACAAGAATTTATCTGAATTCGAACATACATATTCAACTGGTTATCAAACTTTACCATTACATATGCAAAAAAACTGAATCCAAATTCAAACAGTGTAAACTAGCTTTACATGAGTTTGAATTAATTTTTCTATAATTACTTTTTTTTTTTAATTATCCATAAATTAAAATTAGTTTATTCTTAAGGTTAAAAAACATGATTTTAAAAGAACTAATATGATAAAAAAAAAAACTAAAGTAAACTTATGTTAATTTATTGAAAATTGTATTTATAAAATTATATATAATTTATTTAGTTACTGATTTTTTTTTCTTTTAATTAAAACCTGTTTCACATGAGCCTTTGCCTGTTATGGGGTCAAAGCAACAGCCTTGTCTACCCCAGATTCTGCCTGACCATCCCTCAGGAACATCCAACGCCACCTCGTCGCCGCTGCAAAGGTGAAAACCACCGTCTTTGGGAGTGGGGTGGGCTGCACTGCCAAGGATTCCGGGCCACACACTCTCTCTGCAGTTGTTCACCAATATGAGCTGAGTCCCACCTGCAACAAACCACAAGCAAATTGACACTCTGTTGATCAACATTCTTAACCATCCAACTACTGTAAAACAGTAAGTGAAAGTGAAGGTTAAGAAAATATTAGAATTCACAGGAATCTCAGGAAATGTGAAAATTGAGTGTAATATTTCCTTATATAAATAATTACCAAGTTTTGTCTTGCAGATTATACCCTCGTACACTTTCAATCCAATAAAATTACATTAAGTACGGTGTTTAAAACAATTATTATAAAAGTTAACAATCATACCACGCCATGTGCAATTACATCACAATGTAAAATAATGTACTTTAATCAAATTCTTCGTAAACTTTACTTTTTTTTCTGAGTCGGGTACCAAATCTTACGATAGAGTTGAGTGCTAAAAATGAGGGAGTGAAACTGAAGGAATACATAGATACCTATGAGGTGGATGGAGACGAGAATGCAAAGGAAAATGAAGAGGTGCATGAAAGTAGGCATTGGAGTTAGTAATCAATGCTGAATCACTTGGTGGTATTTGTGGAAGAGCCTCATGCAGAGAAAGAGTAGTGGGATGAAGAATAGTTTCCTCTTTTTTTAGCCATATTTTAACTCGTACAACAGTGTTCTTTTTTAAAACCTGTTAAAGCAGAGACTATGGCTCTTTGAATGGTTTCCTCCTATACGTCCTGACTTTAATGCTACCTTCTTTTCCTTTATTCTATTTTTCCAACTTTAATTTAATTTAAAGTCATCTACACTGTGAAAAAATGCTAAACAGCATCAACCTCTTTTTCTCGAAGGACTTACCAAAAGGAAACAAAAGCTGTTAACACATTCTTTTAGGAATAATTATCAATAAATACCCACTCAGTCATCTTTTCAAAAGCTAATTTATAGTAGAAACAGATTTAGTTGTTGTGACAATATTTTTAGTTAAATTAAAATAAGAATTGAAAGAGACTTATACATTCAAATTATAATCATTTACTTTTTACAATAAAGAAACAAGACCAACAAAAAAAGTAAAGCAAACCTTATTCTACTTAATAAAACAACAAAATAGACCGAGAATAAAAAAAAAATACTAATCTAAACTAAATGTATCACAAAGGCATGAACTTAATGATAAATGTAACTAAACTAATCTAAAGCTCGCCAGTTATAACCACTCGTTTTTGTGTGGTGGTAGTTGCAAAGAGGATGAAACAGTATTTAATTGATAATGCTTTACATATTTGACATGGGTAAGGGAGAAAACTTATCTTTCATTTGAACAATGAGATTCATATGATTAGAATTGCCCTCTTATTATTTTCCAAATAATTTATTTAGGTCAGATATTTTTTAAGAAATTAATGACATAAGATTCTCATCAACAAGACACGAACCAATTATATAAAAAATATATAATTTTATTTTTAACCTAAAATTTTAAGATATTATACTACAAATTTTTTTATAAATTATTTAATTTTTTTATTTCTATATAATATAAGACTTCAAATTCAAACTACAATTTTCAACTATTTAAAACCGACCGGATAGGATAATATTAACATGTTTCACACCAAAATTAAATGTAGAAAAGCCACAAAGCAAAAGGTCGAAAGAGAAAAGCATCAAGACTTAATATTCTACATTGTAAAATGTAGACAGCGTAACTCAAAAATGACCAAATGGGATAACAATCCAGTATGAACAAGATAAAATTATTCGATTATCTTAAGTCCTAGCTTCTCCTCAGATGGAGAATGCTTAAGTTCTCAGGGGGTGTATAAGCAGGTTCCATCATCACTTCTTGCAGTTGGGTCGAAGTTTGTGGCACTTGGATCAGTACAACCTTCAGGAACGGGAATGTTTACTTGCTGTGCTGCTTTGCCTGCACAGAATATGAAAGCAACCACAAAGTTTAGACATAGATTTATTTTATGGAAATATACTTTGTGATGAGTTTGATTTTGACATAGTGTAATCAGTCAATTATATTTTGTCAAATTGTTAAAATAGTTGTAAGCAATACAGTATTAGATATTTAAAAACCTTCTCACTAGATCAAAATTAAATGTGTATATGCATGCATAATTAAAATACTGAAAATCATACTGTATGCAATGCAAACATCCTAAATGAAGGTCTCGGGATAAAAGATCAAACCATAGAAAGTTCCTCTTTTAATGGCATCTTCGTTAGCTTCACCAAGAGCAGCCTCGTTCAAGTACTTGTCTGCCAGTTGGACTCTCTTCACATTCTCTTGTTCTTGGACAAGCATGTTACCATACTCCAAGAGCTTACCCAAAGTCATCTTGGGCTGCTCAAATTTTGGAGGTCCTTCTTTTGAGTTCACAAGCTTCTTCCCAATCAACTCAACACCAACACCAAAAATCCACTTTCTCACTTCATCATCATATACTCTAGCCCTGAGTGCACCAAAGAAATCTGCAATGATAAATGGTATGCCATTAGTCTTGTTGATTTGCTTCTATTTCTTTAAAATTTTCAATTTTATTTGCGAGTAATTACCCACGTTGATCATTTTATTTGCAATATAAGCATTGGTTACTTTAATTTCTAACTTCTGTAAACTTTCATTTGATCTGTGACTTTGAAGAACAGCCATCATGTTAGTCCGTCATAAAAGATGGCGTGGAAAAGCACGAAGTGAATTATTTGTTGCAAAGTTTTAAACAAAATGAAGGTTTAGAAAAATCAGGATTAAAGTGATTGATGCTCATAATTTAAGGGACTATTATTAAAGTTTAATTACATGGATAAAACTTAGATGTATTTCCTGTATGTACTTTTGGTGGTGTCATTCAATTAGATTAGAGTTTCACTTTATGTTTGCCCATAACAACTGTATCTAAATTTTGAATCATTGACCAAGGTGAAACTTACCAATGGATTGTCCAGGGAAGGTGTCAACAAGCTTGACAATGTCATCCGCAGGAACATTGTCAGTGCGGAAAATTCCCTTGCAAACACCAATTCGGTCGTCCCTTGTAGGTGCCCAGTAGAACTTCTCCATACGACCATCACGGATGAGAGGAGCATACAGTGTTGAGAAATCGTTACCGGTGACGATGATGGGCACACGGGGGTTCTCTTCCTTGTTGTACATACCAGGAAGCTGAACATTTGTGGGGTTATCAGCAATGTTCATGAGGGTGGCATTCACCATCTGGTTGTTCACAGTGTACTGAGTGGTTCCACCAAGTCGACCAGCTCCTGCATCAAGATCGTTGATGAAGAGACAGCACATCTTCCCCTTCTTTATTATATCAGCAGCTTCACGGTACCTTTGCCTGATCAACTTTGCTGGCTCTCCTGCGTTTCCACTCTCCAACTCTCCAGCACTCATCATGATAGGGCTGTAATCACAACATCATAAGGACTTGAAATTAGCACCAAATAAGTTATTGGTCCATCAAAATAATGAAATTTGGTTTTGATCTCTTTAAAAACTTATATGCTTTTAATAATGCCCTAGAGTTGCTAATGTAAGTGGTGCACAAGTATTATTATGTATACAACATTTACTCACTTGATTCCCATCTTGGCAAAGACAAGCTCGCATTGGAAGGATTTTCCTTGACCTTTGCCTCCCCAGATACCAAGAATGAGAGGAACCTGTAAAAACAACGAAAATATTGAATGTGTCCTGTTTCTTTAACTAAAGTTCAATATTTGCGGGAATCATGTGTGCAATTTGCATGCCTTGATGTTGGGCAGGGTCATGAAATTCTTGGTGATGTGAACAACAAGCTTGTCCATAAAAGCAGGAGCAATGTAAAGACCGTCCACGTCGTTATCCATGTTGTACCTGAAATACCACATCATGACCAGGTTTAATTAGATGAAAAAAGGGAGTTTACTTTTTCAGCTCATGACAAGAAAAGCGGTAAGTAAACACTATTTGTCTTAGAGTCAGCAGTATCAGCCACTCACTGTTTAAGTCCAGTGCTAAGGTACTCGTAAGAGCTCATGACTGCATAGTGAGTTCCAGTATCCACTGGAGCTTGGAAAAGGGGATCAACCATACCCTTCCCCCTTGTGATGTCTTGCTGATCATCAGAAATATCGTAGGCAAGACCTCTCCATCTGTCCGTATCAGTCTGCTGGCTCTCATCAGTCTCTTTTGCAGCAACAATTTTGAAACTTCCAGAGGATATTTTGGTGTTAGGGACCCTTGAGGCAGTAACCTTCTTCAAACTGCTGCCGAAAAAGGCTGAACTGGGAACTGAAGCTCCAGCTCCAGAGCTGTTCAAGCTCAGCTGCAGTATTGACATTAGCCATTCTGTCACACTCTTCAAACTAATTTTAAAAGTTCACTCACCTATAAAGCTACCCTTCCAATGTTCAAATATGTTTTTATCATTACTCAACTAGGAAAGAACACCACACTTCCAATTTTGTATCATATCTATTGATTATTACATTACATAACACCCAACTCAGTTACTAACTTATAATGAATTAACCATCAATATAGAGGACTATAAAATATAGATTGCTAAGTTTCTGTCGTAGACATGTATATCAAATGAGAACTTGGAATAATTCTTAACTAAACTAGGATAAAGGTAGTGTCATCTGTCTTTCTGACATTCAAGCAATCATTGAACATATGTATATATGTATGTTTGCAACATATTTCTATAACCTTACACGTATTACTAATGATTTGAGCTTTTATAGGACAAAAATCACCCAAGGATTGGCTGAGAAACTATAGACAAAAAAGTGCAAAAAGAGGAAAAATATCATACTGGAGCTCCGTTAACAGCTCCAATGGTGGAGACTGCGGCAGCCATGGCAGTGTTGTACTCAGAGTGGTAGAGCAAGCAAATACAGCACAAGTCTTTTGAGGCTAGCAGAAATCACAATATGGAAGGACTTATAGTAATGATGCAATTGAGTGAACAGAAATTCATATCCTCAAGACTAGTTGTGGAATTCTTAACATCCACACAAAGAAGATTAGCTTGGCTTCCACGTGGCAGCCATATAGTGTCCGAAAGGTCTCACCTACCTACAGCCATAGAACTTGAGGTTGGTGTTGAAGCCTTTTCCTGATCCATAAGTTTTAAGGGGGATTTGTTACCACACGTAACTAGTATCATTCATCTCATCAAGATCAAGTTTTGGCTAGTGTTTGTCAGCTATAAGAAAAAAGGAGTTCAGCAATTAGATTTTTTGCACACTAGTAACCAATGATGTTTAAAAAAATTAAAAATAGTTTTTATGAAATTATGTCAGAAAAAATGGAGCATTGCGTTAATAGAAACTAGAACAGTGGTGATTGAGATTATGTAGTGATCCCCCTCCACTCCCGTTCAAAGTGGGGACCAAGGGTCAAGAGGTTGCACACAAGTTGCTTTTTCAGCTGCTATATGCGCCTCTTACTTTCGTATTGGTTAACTGGTACGTACCTTTGTGTGCTCCAGACATGCCCATTGAAGGTTCCACATCTATTGCTTCCAAATTATCTGCCATCATGA